ACAACGCTTTCAAAGAATTATTTTTTAATAAAGTCGCAACACTGTCGGAATCGAAGGCTTTGAAAGAATAACAACAAAACATGTAAGGGTAAAAACTCTTCTATTTTTCTTTCTTTCTTTTTTTTGTAATTAAGAGATTTTCTTTGCGAATTTGAACGAGGTTTTTTGTAAGTAAAGCATCAGACAAACCAAACAGTAAAATCCACTCTGTTGCTTCAGGCGAGACAGGTGTCAGAGCTTTCCCTTTGTTGACCTGCTGGAACCCACAGTGTTCCCTGACGTTCCTCCTCCTCTCAGAGGCCCATTATCGATGAACGCACTTCCTGTACACCAGTGGTTCTCAATTATTTTTCCTGTCATGCCCCCCCTTAGGGACAGAAATGTCCCCCGACCCACACCCCCGCAAATTAAGATACTATTGAGAACCTGAGAACGTGTATATTTTAATCTGTACAAACCACTATATGAGTTGCTGCCACCTAGTGACTGGACGCTTGTTATCATTCACACTGATGTCCAGTGGGCCATATTCCATTGGTAACGCCTGGGCATCTCGCCGCGCCCGCTAAGTGGGACCCGCCCCACTGTTTGAGAATTACTGCTGTGCACAGACACACATCAGTTTCCTCATATTCAGACGAAACGATTATCAGCCACAGTTTACTTAACGCTGACACCGACGCACAGTTGTCAGCGTAAGATTATCGACCTGGAACGCCTGATATTGACTCTCTATCTCTCTCTATCTCTCTCTCTATTCGTTGGCGTTTGTTATTTTAACGCGACACTTCCTGTTGACGTTTGTTATTTTAACGCGACACTTCCTGTCCAATTTGGACGTCCTGTGTTGAGGACAATTAAACAGCGAGTTGGAACACATTCCTGTTGCGTCAGGACAGAACTCGACCTCAGATTGAGACGGCGGAACGTCTTCAGTCGAACAGAGGAACTCCAACGGTCCGTTTTTTTTTTTCCAAATCGCTCCTTGCGTCTGCGGTTTGTTTGTTAGCGTCTTACTTTGGTGAGAGTTGAAGTGCCGCGGCTTTGTGATCAAACCGTGGCTGTAGTTGCTGTGGAAACGAGACGTTTGTTTTCCCTCTGAGGGATGTTTACAGAAGGATGGATTGAAACACTTTACTTTAGTCAAATACAACGTGCTAATAAAACTGGGAACAAGGTAAAGGACGCGCCGCTGCGTCTTTCACATCGTGCCGACTGGAAAAATTGCAGGTCTTTTTGAGTCGCAAAAGTAAGGGTTTGCGACTCGACGTCTTACGACCAGATGACACTGCCAACGTTGGGTGGTCCTAGACCGCAGCCCACAATTAAAACCAGTGGTTGCTGTAGTACTCTCCACCGGCCACAGGGGTCTGATTAGTGGCAGCTGTAGCCAGTAGAGATGCCTGTGTTCTGGTTCGTCTTCTGTCCCTGCTGGTCACGATCACTGGTTCACTTTTACCTCTGGTACTTTCTGGAAGACCCTCCCTCACAACCTGAGGCCCACAGATGAACGGAGAGACCCCCCTTCACCCCCCCACCCACCCACTCTTCCTCGGCTGAGGTGTCTGAATATAGGTTGACTGAGGTCGGCACAGATGCATGGATCTTAGTCACAGCCAAATGACTGTAATTTGGAGCAGGAAAACCACGGGGCTCAGAACGGGGGGTGGGGCCTGGAGATGAGCCGCTCGTGCTTGTTATTGGCCTTTCACTTCGACTCACAGCAGGAGGTGGAAAAAACAAGCTAATTCACATTCATTTAAAAAAAAAAAAAACACAAATGTGTGATTTGTTTATTGTCTTTTACCATTAAGGTGTTTTTTTTTTTTTTATCAGTTTGCACCAGAGTTACAGATTAGTCTCTGGTACTGTTCACGCTGAGCAGTTTTAAGGTTAGTGCCATTGAGGCAAATGTTTCTCCTGGGAATGAAGTGAAGTCATAACAGGAAGAGTTTTGTGAACCTGAAACATTCACCGTTTTATTCTTTATCACTGAGCCTCAGATGGTTTGTCATGAACTCTGTTTGTTTTTACATTTCTAACACGATGAACAGAAACTGTTCATCGGATCATGAGCTCGGAGTCGATGTCAGAGAGAGAGAGAGAGTGAGAGAGAGAGAGAGAGTGTGTTTGTGGATAAATAATAAACATGATAATTGTAGTGTTTAATTTGTTTTTTGTTTTGGTTTTTTTCTTCAGACGACTACTTGTCGTTATTAGCATTAGCTTACATATTAGCATTAGCTTACAAAATACAATGTACAATGTACTTTGTTACTCATTAATTATTCAATAATTAGTGCATTTGTTTAGCATAAGGAAATTATTGACCAACTTCGTTTTCAGCTCTGTATGTTTCCACTGAATGATAAATCTCAAAATAAACTGTTGGTTTTCCTGCGCTAACCAGTTACGTGCTAGTTAAGGTTAGCACAAAATGAGGAGCAGAAGAGCAGCTTGATAACAGGCGCAAACTGCCAGATAGTTACGACGTTTTCATACTGAAGTCGCACGAGGTGCGTTTGGGTATTTTACCAATTTTTATAACAATAATATAATTTTTTTAAAATTATTAATTATTATTATTTTATATTATCAATATACAGTATTTGTTTATATCCATGTTTTTTAGTTATTATATTTAAAAAGTAATAGTATATTTCTGTGGGGTTAGAATGAATGAATTGGTTTTAGTTATTTTTTAAGGGGCAAAATGCAATCGATTGTGGAATGGATTAAACTCAAATTAAATTAATTAATACAATTAATAATAATAAAATTAATGAATCTCAAAAGCTCATGGAGAAAACTCAACTCCATGTTCTCCTACTGTAGCTAAAAAATAGACCAAATATAACCCTGACAATTTTTTGAAATTGCTTTTATAAAAGTAAAAAAAAAAAATTAATTATTTTGACCTTTTTATTTCACTGTTTGACTTGAATTCATAATTCAAAACCGAATTAATCAGAATTCACTTTTCTTTTCACACAGTGTAATTAACCAGTGAAGCGTCACCTCAGGACATGGTGTCGAGATATTATTAAACGTTTCAGGAGTTGAAGCCGTGACTCATTTCCAACATGTATGTGTCGCAGCGCTCCACTGGCACAGCATCAGTGGGAGTCGAACGACGACGTTATAAAAGCCCTTAAGATTAAAATAAAAAAAAACGATTAGTCAGTGGGCTAACGACTTCTGTAGACGGCGTGTCATGTGAGGTGTCTATAATTCTGTCACCTCCACGTACACTGAGTGCTGCCTTCCCTCCATCTGCTTGTTTACATTCTCCGACTGCTGTCATCTTCACAACCTGCCGCTGCTTTTATCTGCAGGGAGTTCAGGAGAAGTATCTAATAAAGAGCGCAGCTGGATGAGGCTTAGTGAAAATGGCAGGAAAAAAATCCAAAGGCTCAAAGTGAAGGAGTCGAGTAAAGTGGAGGGAGGGGGGGTGAGAGGGGGGTGAGATGAGCTCATCGCTGTAAGAAGTTTAAAAAAAAAAAAAGAAGAAGAAAAAAGGCATGAACATGAAGCAGAGACCTGTTGTAAAAAACCACGGACGACACCAACGACTGTTTATTTTTTTTTCTTCTTCTTCTTCCTCCCTGCTGCTCTTCCGTGTGTGTGTGTGTGTGTGTGTGTGCGTGCACGGGTGCGGCTTTGTGAGTTATGACTCCACGGTGAGGAATGAAGGGAGCGGTGCCAGTTCTTCCTTTGCAGAACCGTGAAGTTGAGGGTAGAGACGGGTTGGGGGGGGGTGTTGGGGTCTGTGTGTGTGTGGGCCGAGTGACGAACAGTCACAGACACTGACCCGCGTATGGCCTCGTATGACGTGTCAGGTGGGTCGTAATTATCAGACCGTGGCAACTGAGGCTGCAATTATCAGCTTTCAGTGAATCACAGGTTCCCTGGTTTTATTTTTTTATTTTTTTTATTTTTTATTTTTTTACACTTTAGCTCACTGCCATACGCTCCCTAAAGCACTGTACATGTTGTAGGGCCAGTTCAACACATATAATCTTCTTTTTAAAAGTGACTTTGCTGGGACTTGAAACCTGTTTGACAAAACTAATCCATCATGTTGATCCCTGTGGCTTTTGTGTTCATTGGAGGAAGAATCAGTGTCTGACAGCAGTGGTGGGAAAGCGTGAGGAGCGGGAACTCTGGAATGTAATCGGATACAGTCCTGGTGGTCCCAAAGTCTGGAGGTTCAACTCTTTGACTTAAAATAGACTTTGTTCAGTAGCCAATCACTGTGGAGTAAATGGTCCACAACTGGTTTTATGCAGGACAAATTTTTACTTCCTGTCAAGCAGCAGAGGTGTGTGTGTGTGTGGGTGTGTGTGTGTGGGTGTGTGAGCGGACGTTATAAAAAACACAACAAAGTTTAATTAAATCATATATAATTATTGTTGCATAAAAAACAGGTCAAATCCTGAAAATAGAAGCAGAGGGAAGTGCTAGCTTTTCAAAATAAAATACAATACAGACTTTTATTTTAATGAAATCCAAGTGTGGCCCCATTAATAAATCAGTGATTCTCAACCGCTGAGCCGTGGAAAATTATCCAATTTCACTTAATTTGGCTGAAAATGATTAATTATTCATTGCATATAATTTTTCTTTGCTCGTCAACACATGAAAGGCAGAACAATTAGCTCCTCTTCTGCTAGGTGGCAGCAGGTGGCTATGAAAAATATATTTAAAAAAAAAGATAATCAGAGCTGTTGAAGAAGATCTTGGTGAGTGTCTTTCTTCAATTCCTGGCGGTATGTGAGTGTTGTCTTCAACTAAACAGTGGTGAGCCGTGGTTAAAAAGAGGTTGGGAAACACTGATGACCCAAAGGCCGGTCCTGGTCCTCGACCCGGGGGTTAGAGACAGTCTGACAGTTCATTATTCGGTTCTGTTTTTGTTCCCTGTGGTTCTGGTTCCGTCTGTTGTCGTGTGTCTAACGCTGGACCTCTGTTCTGTTTCCTCTCCCGCTGTGTTTCTCTTCCAGGCCGAAGCTCCAGCTCGAGGTGTCATGTCTAACCGTGACTCCCTGGGTTTTGGGGAGTTACTTCCCCAGGACGTGGTTCAGATCTTTGCCCAGGAGAAACACAGCAAAAGAGGCCACAAGAAGCGCAGTCACTCTCTGGGCCGGGCGCTGGGCTGGCTGAAGGGCAAGAAGGGCAAAGATCAGGGCAGGAATGGGCGAAATCTGGGTCTGGGTCCTGCACTTGACCTGGCCTTGGAGGGACCCTCAGCTGGGACGCAAGGTGGACACAAGGGAGGACAGAAGTCAGGGAGACACACACACCATCATGGGAACAGCCAAGGTGAGGACCAACGAGCTGCACGTCAGTGCTTCAATACTGTCTTCATAAACACGGTCTCTGGTTCAAGTCCCAGTGAGAACGCATGAGGACACAGCAGGGAGAGAATGAGTGTGTGTGTGTGTGACTGTGTGTGTGTGACTGTGTGTGTGCGACTGTGTGTGTGCGACTGTCATTGTGCCTGTTTGCGTTTGTGAGTCAGGTGTCGGCCTCTGGAAATTTCCCTGCTGCTGTGAATGTGATTTACTCAGTGTGTGTGTGTGTGTGTGTGTGTTGCTGTATTTTCTTTTATGCAAATAGTGAACTCTCTTGACCCGTGACCTCTGACCCCGACCCCTGATCCCTGAATCTCACTTATCTGTGCAAAAATAAAAAAAGTAAAGAAAAAAGATTTAAGAGCTACATGAGGAAATAAATGGTGAATTAAAAAAATAAAAAATAAAATAACCAATACATTTTTAATAATAATTATTAAATTTGTTAAATGGAAGGAAGTTTGAGTTTATACTGGTATGTTGCCAAAATGGCTAAGTAGTAAAATTCAAAATCAGATAATAACCTGTTGTTCCAGCCTTCATGGTGTAATGTCACAGTAAAAACATTGTCTTCAGTTGTTAGTTGTGTCTTCAGGAACCAGACCGAGACATTTATTTTGCTGCTGTCCTGTAATTAAGCTGTTTGTTACACAATAGTCAGGAAACAATTGCGTAAGATTGACTTTAAAAAAAATAAAAAAAAAGAACTGCTGGAAAAGAAAGGATTTTCCTGCTGGTTCTCCTCGCCCTCCGGCCATGTGTGTTTGTTCACCACAGACCTGTTTGAACGAACTCTTCTTCTGACCCTTCAACTCGCTTTGTTTGACTGTGAAAAAAAAAAGAAAAAGAAAAAGAAAAATCTCTGTCTGTCCTGTTCTGTGATACCATCACAGGTTACACACACGACACAGGTGCTGCACCGTGGCTGCAGTCCACAGGGGGCGTACATGAGCAGGAAGGTGTCACTCACCCCAGATGGCACACATACACCCACTCAGTCAACAACACACACATACACACACACACACACACAGCGGCGACGTGAGAGAGCGTTCACACAGGGGCGACGCTACGACTTTTCCCACAGCTCGACTCGACTCGACTCGACTCGACTTGGTCCGGTCTTGTCCTAGCCTGCACGTCGTTTCTTCGTCTGCGTCTATTTTTTTTTTTTCTTGCGAGTTCAAACTCTGAGCACAAACTTTTACCAGTTTTATGTCCTGATTTTTGAAACCTAGACAGAGCCAAACAGAAACGACAAGTGAAAGCCTGTTTTCACTGAACTGACTCCACGCTTATACACAAAGGCACCAGCAGGGGGGGGCGTTTGTCTGACGGTGCTGGGGCAGTCGGGGCTAATTGCTGTACAGGAGGGAGGGGGCGCCGCCTGCTTCTTTTGTTGGCCCTTTTTTTGTGGTAGTTGAGCTGGAGGTGGGGGGGGTGGTGGTTTCCATAACATTCAAGCCCATTACGTTCCACAGTCAAACAGCGTAGGCTAATGTCCAAACAGACTTTTAGATGGTGACAGATGAGCCAGGCGGCGTGGAACCGAGGGTTATGTAAGCGAAAGTAAACTGTGAGGAGAGATAAGAAGTTTCTCCTCTGCCGAGGTCAGATCGGAGCAAACCTCCCTCATCAGGCAACGCAACAAATCCTTTGACGCTGCTGTTTTTCTTCGGGCGAAATTTTAGTCTCACAGTTACAACGAGGAGACGTTTTTTTAAAGTTGATTTGGTTACAGTGAACCATCACACAGGCTGGATGTCAGGGGTGGCAAACTCCAGGCCCGGGGACCACTTCTGTCCCACCAACTCCTCACATTTGGCCCATGGCTCGATGTCAAAAATGATTTGATTTCATGCTTGAGGTCATTTTGATGAAATTGTCACTAGTCTGTTGCCTCGGGGCTTTGAAGTCGTGCTAATTTAGCAGTGGTTTCTGCCCTCGGGTCAAGTCCTTATTTTCTTTTAAATATTTTGGCTTAAATAGTCAAGAAGTCACATATTTATTCTAGTAGTTTTTTTTATAATTCACTAATGTCAACGGTATTAAAACACCTGAATCGCAGTCAGGAAATCGATTCCCAGTTGAAAGAGAACACATGTTGTTTGTCTGAAGAATTTCTCAGCCTTTAAAACTGCGGTGTCCAGAACCAACCTGGTTTGATGTCAAGTGGACCGGACCAGTACAATCATAACATAACTTCACTATAAATAACAACTTTGTTCTCATGCCAAGTATATTAGATTTTTATTATTAATAATTAATTCTTCATGTTCAACGAAATATAATTTTACAAAAAATGTTATTACTTCTTCATATTCAACGAAATATAATTTTACAAAAAATATCCTGAACATGAAGTGTTCAAACGGGCCGGATTGAACACCTCTGCGGGCCAGTTTTTGCCCACGGGCCGTATGTTTGACTCCCCTGCTTTAAAATGACAAGATTCTTTTCCACAAATTCGCAACTGTAAACTCCAGCCCGTGTGATTATAGAAGGAGCTCAGCCGACGCCGACCAGTGCAACTCACTTGGTCGTAAAACGGAAAAACCTGAGACCGAAGTCGCTGATGATGATTTGTGGTGTTGCCAAAGAGGCTTCCTGCACCGAGCCAGTTCAGGACTGTACACTGAGCGGAGGAACAGTGGGCGGAGTGGGGGGGGGGGGCGGGGGGGCCCGGCAAAGGAGGCACGCCCCGCCCCCCCACACCCGCCATCCCGATCACATTGTTCCTCATTGCACAAACAAGGTGAGAGACAGGGGGCCCGTGTGTGTATGTGTGTGTGTGTGTGTGTGTGTGTGTGTGTGTGTGTGTGTGTGTGTGTGTGTGTGTGTGTGTGTGAGACCTCTGTACAGAGCTGGACAGATCACAGTGAGGTCATGAAAACAAAAGTTCAGTTCATGCCTTATCCAGGGCGTTGACCGCTGCAGCTGCAAACAAAATTAAAAAAAAAAAAAAAACGTAGTTAAGTTTGTAATTACATTTATTGCCAACAATAACCTTGGTAGCAATTTCCTGTCTTTGCTGTAAATGACTTGTATTTATATGAGCAGAAAACAATAATAACATTAGCTCTGAACGCTGCCCTGGTGCATCGTCGATGACCAGCATCCATTAATGAAGAAGAACCTGGTAGCCTTGGACAACCCCTGACCTGTGGTCAGTTCTTTTGTTCAGATGACCACACGGTTGATGAGTTTTGTTCTGGGTTCTGTCGCTAAATCATCAGAACCAGGGATTCACTGGGGTTGTGCAAGGTGCCACTAGGGGGTGCTGCAGATAAAAAAAAATGTGATGGTGGTTTTAAGTTATTTAGTTTTTTTATTGGGATTTTTCCACCCAATAAAGGTGTGTAAATAAACATTTCCTTTGTAAATTTTAAAATCAAAAGCTGACTTTAATTAATAATATGAATTAGTATATATATATATAAATCAGTACAGGCTACATATATGTGTTAAATGTGTGAGGTGTGGGGAATTGAGGCTTCATCAACCCGTCTATAATGTTGTGGTAATGTTGATGTGATGTTGAGATAATGTTGAGATGATGTTGAGATAACTTCGAGATAACTTCGAGATAATGTTGAGAAAATATTGAGATAATGTTGAGATAATGTTGGGGTGATGTTGAGATAATGTTGAGATAATGTCGAGATTTGTTGCGATAATATTGAGATAATGTTGAGATAATGTTGAGTTGATGTTGGGATAATGTTGGGATAATGTTGGGATAATGTTGGGATAATGTTGAGCTAATATTGAGATAATTTTGATATTGAGATAATGTTGAGTTGATGTTGGGATAATGTTGGGATAATGTTGGGATAATGTTGGGATAATGTTGAGCTAATATTGAGATAATGTTGAGATAATGTTGAGTTGCTGTTGAGATAATGTTGATGTGATGTTGGGATAATGTTGAGATAATGTTGAGTTGCTGTTGAGATAATGTTGATGTGATGTTGATATAATGTTGAGGTGACGTTGACCCAGTTCAGTTCTTCACATTGATCAGTCCAGTTTCTGACCTCTCTCTGTGTTGCCCCTGATCACTGTACATTGTTTCATCAACAGTCAGTGACTAACACCTCACACGGCTGCCGTGAAAAGTCTGCAAACGTGAATTGATTCACGCTGCAGTCACTAAACTCTTGACGGTGTCCTCTCACACCGCGTTCTACCTGTGTGTGAATAATGTCTCTGTTTATGAACGGTGGGAGTCGGGAGATGGGAAGACTGATGAGGTCATCCAGAGCCGGAGCGGTGAAGGTCACCTGTTCACACGAACACTCCCCGAAAGATTCCTCACATTCCTGAGCTTCACAAAGATTCTGCTCTGAAGAAGTAAGAAACAGGGAGGCCTTTGTGTGTGTGTGTGTGTGTGTGTGTGTGTGTTTGATGTACACGTCAGCATCAGATCACGTGTGTCATTTTTCTCTGAAGTAGTTGCTAGTTTTCCTAAAAACTAAGATCACAGGTTGGTGAGTTGCAGTCGTCGTTTCAGGTTCAGGACGTCTGTGTTGTTGCCTTGTTGTGATGACAAGGCAACAATAAATTGGCGCCACGTATTTTGCTGGCAGGAAGTAATGAAGCGCCTCATTACAGGCTTACTCATCATTACACAGCTACTTACAGGAGCTCTTTGTGCAAAGCACTTGTTTACGCTGGTCGTTTTGTTAGCTTTCATGAGTTAACTTAATTAACGTTAACGATTGTCACATCAAATGCGTAGCGGGAATATTTGAATATTCAGGTCAGTCTTAGAACAAATCTTATCGCACGTTCATGTAAATGTAGCTATAAAAACGTATGTTGTATTGTATGTTTTTATGACCTGTGGTATAACATCATAGAACCGTTAATTTATGTCGACTTTCTGAAAACATTTCTCTTGTACAGTACGTATCGCTGTGGTTTTCTTGGTTAACATGCAAATCCCAGCTGGCTGACGAGTCATGTGATCTGAGGGTTACGTGTATTTTTAGCTGCTTGTGACTCAGCCCTAACAACGTGTTTTACTTCAGTGTCCAATCAGTAAACGCTGGTAACGTTTTGTAAAATAATAAAACTCATGCCGTGCCTTTCGACCACAGGTTTTGTCTTACAGTATTTAATATAAATACTTTTTTTTATATTCAAAGGAGACGATTAAAAACACTTTTGTTAAATTGTGGGAAAAGTTCTGTAACAAACTTAAATGATCAAAACGCTTTTGCTTGTGATTTTTAAGGTGACCACAGGTTTTGTCATACAGTATTTAATATAAATATTTAGTATTTAATATAATATAAAACGCTTTTGCTTGTGATTTTTAAGGCGTTTGGTGCTAATCTCTTGTGCAGTGCTAGCATTTTGCTTCTGCTAATGCTAATGCTAACGTGAACAAATTTTCTCCCAAAACTCATAGGCTGACAGAACAATATTCAGATATTAAATATATTACAATATTATTGAATAAACAAAACATACTCCAGGATAGTTTAAATGTTTTATTGTTTTTTGTTTGTTTTTTTCCCTCCGATTGTGGTTTCAACTGGTTCAGAACTTCTGTACAGATGTCTCTTGTTGTTGGTGGACACTTGATGGGATTCGTTTTAGTAAGAGTTCACCACACCCAAACGTCAGAGGAGATCAGATGATCAGTCAAACGGTAGAAGACGTTCACCAAGTGCCAGTTCGCCCTCTGGTCCCATCTGAATGAATATTGCGCTCGAGTTTCATTTCATCGAGTTACCCTTATTCCTTGCGTCCTCTCGCGTCTTTGTCGCAGCACAGAACAGCCCGAAGCAATTTTATTGCCGTTTCAATTCGTGAACTCACACATTGCTTCATTGTCAAGATATGCAGATCCATCAGCGTGGTTTCTCACCAGCTGTTATCACGGAAGACTGATAAATATGTGCACGGAAAGTTCCACCCGTTGTGACTTTTCGAGGTAAATAAAAATTTTAGTTTTGGAATTTGGAGCCACTTTGTTCAACGGTGTGGAGATAACGTTGTTGGTTTTACCTGCCGTGCAGCAAACGGTTTCATCTTTGAGAACACAGTGACCTGAACTTGGACCGGAGCTGTGATAAGGAACTGTAACTGGTGTTTGGTGACGAGGTCAGAGGTCACACTGCTGTGATCCGTCATGTCATTTCATCCTGAAAAACAGACATGAAGTCACTGCTGCGGTGATTTTTTTTTTTTTTTTTTTTGTGTGTCTGGTTTGATGTTCGACTGGCTCACAATTATAATCTGTCTCCACATTCATTTTCTGGAACCGCCCTCTCTGTCATTAGCGTTAGCTGCTCTCAGCTAGAAGAATGCTGAGCTCTGTGTTTTATTGTCCTAAATCACATGTTGGAGGAGCCTGTAGCGATGTTGTGCTTACATTAAACAGGCGCTAACAGGTCTGAATATTTTTCAGGCTCCTCCACAGATTTTAATGGGATTTGATTTGTAGCTTAAACCATCTGCAGATTTGTCCGTTATAAAAAATAATTATTTATATGATTTATTTATTTTTTTTGTCTAATGCAGTGATTGCCGTAGGAGGTCGTCAGGTGTAGCATGGAAAATGATTTCACTCAGCTGGTCTGACAGCTATTTTTATTTACTGCAAATAGTGACAGTGACAGGCAGAATAATTAAACACCGGGGCGGGGTCCCTGACTTATGTCAGAGTTCCTACTGTACATCAGAGTCACTCACGTAGGCTATCAGTGATAAAATCGTAATCTAGGACATAAAAAAAAATCAGGAGAGTCTGACCTATGCCTTGGAGCCATAATGAAGGGCAAAAAGTTCCCAAAAAAGCAACACAGGAAATGGAATGCAAATGTAAACAAAGCTAGTTCCCGTGTGAACTGTCGATGTGCGGAATAAAAGAACAAGACGTTCTTGATAAACTCATTTGAGACGGAGACATAACCACAAAACGCCATAGGTCCAGGACGCCGTAAACAGAGAACTTTCACCAGGTGGCAGCAGATGGCTATAAAGGCTAAAAAAAATGAGAAGATATTTGAGTCTTTCTTCAATTCCTGCCAGTATGTCAGTAATGTGTTCAAATAAACAGGCTCAGTGAATGTGTGTAAATGTAATTTAGATCTTTATATTTCATTACATATACTTAAAGTTTCTTTAGTGGTGGGCTGTGGGATTTTTCTGATGTAAAATCTAGTGGCTCAGAAAGATCGTATTGTCCGACTGTGAGAAGCAGTTTAGCTGAGTCCGTCACATGATGCAGGCGTATCTGTTACCCGTTGTCCGTGTCACGACACACTTCTCCCTTCCGTCCCGTCGTCCGTCTTCCTCTCTTTCCTTTCGTCGGTGACGTGAATATTTCAATTATTAAAAGCCGAGAGTGTAAATACAGTCGGTAACTGTTCCCACTGTTACACTCGTGTATTCAGTTGTGTTTGTGCTGATTACAGAGGCTTAGACACCTGGTAGACTGAGAGCTGGAGCCAATGTCTCAGCGTGGCAATGCAAAAGAGGAGAGAGGGGCAAGTTAAGGCAGGGAAGAGGGGTGTGTACGGGATATTTGCATCTGGGTGATTCCCATGAGGCAGTTCAAGAAAGTCGCAAAACACTAATTCGCTGCTGGCTGTGCTGATGAATTTGGACTTTTTGACTTTTGTTTTTTTATGGAAATCCAAGCTGTGTTCCAGGAGGAAATGATCTCCTCGGGTCCAGTCCGTTAGAACTGTCTGTGTCTGTGAGTCAGTTCTTCACACCAGTCAGACGTCAGTCCTCTCTAATCCAGGGGTTCTCAACTCCTGGTCTGTGGACCGGTACCGGTCCATGGGTCATTTAGTACAGGGCCGCAGTGAAATATTTCACAATTTACTTCGTTCAAAGTATCTGCTAATGTCCATTTACGTTTGTCATATAAGATACTGTACCTGGTGAGTATTTCAAAAAAATACTAATGTAATACTAAATAAGGATAGGAGAATAAAGCCTTTAAATCCTTTAACTACCGGTTCGCAAACCAGTTGGTTCAGGCTAACCCAGGTGTGGGCAAATTTTGTGACTCGCCGGCTACTGGAACCTAAAATTTGACGGGGCGGTTGAGGCCAGGTCAGGAGCAGAGATGTAAACTACGATAAATGAAGTCATGAATAAAGGTTAAAATGCTAAAATGCTTCCTGCTTTTTCTACACCATCTATTGGGCAAAGGCGAGCATTGCAGGCAAGAGACATAAGTATAATGATAATATAAATGACTGATGTATTTTGGACAAATTTGCTGGGTTGGATTCAAAGGTCAAACAAAGGATCGCTGCACTAAATGAACGCCGAACTTGCATTCTGAAAATGTTCGTATTTTTGTTTCCTTTTCAAACTTCGTTGATCTTCAGTTTACAAAACACGACTTCTGAAGATTTTGTTATTTTAAAACAGCCGTCTCCTCTCACTTCAAGTCCAAATAAACTGTGTTATTGCAGCAGTAGTAATGGAGAAAACAAAGTCGATATTTGTACGTTAGCGCTACTGTTTGATTGGCTAATAATTGACAAATAAGGAAAACTCTGCTTTTTAAGGTGGGAATATTAGAAAAAGAAAACAACAGGGACACGTTAGCGATGTCGCTGGTAGTTTTGAAAAAGCTTTTTTATGGAATAGTTTGGACACCACTTATTATGGGTGTATTTGAAGGGTTTATTTCTTCAGTAAAAACAGGTCAGAAAAACACAAAAAGAAAGAACGAGCTAATGTATACAGTGAACTGAGCCAACAGTTTCCAAACACAGCACTTCAGAGGCTCATGACTCATGACCTCATTGTTACTAAGTGTATTGGGTGTGTTGTGGAATTTTTTTTTCTTCTTCTTCTTCTTCTTCTGTAGTTACAAAGGAGTTCAGTTTTTTGCAGCAGCACGTCGTTCAATTTTGGAAGTATGAATACAATTAGATCCTGTTGTAATTATGAATAAAATGATCGTGGGTGTAAGAAAACATTCGAATGGACAGTGTCTGCAGGGAGTTCAACATGTGACGACAGACACAGTTTGTCAAACTGATACGTTTTATCTGATTAGATCCAAACGTTCGTACGTCAGCAGAAAACACCACAAAGTGTGTGTTTTTGTGTGTGTTCAATATTAGGGTTTGGCAGCAAAACGACTCTGTTTTGGTAAAAACACGAATTCCGAATGTGCGGCTTCCTTGGTTTCATATCTGTCTAAGATGTAAACAACATGACATTGCTGTCTTCTTTTACTGCGCCATAAAGAGAGGATTTGAGGTCGAACTGGCTGTTTTGGTGGGTTTTTTTTTTTTTTTGGTACTGCTTGAATCTGAGCTGAAGCAGATTAATAATTAAAAGCCTCTAATTTAATCTCCCACTGACTTTTGTCCAAATCCTCCGAGGCAAGTTCACTGATTGAAATCATGAGTTTCCATCAGAAATGTCGACCAAATGTTTATAAGCAGGCCGTAACCATGGTTACATCACACCGCTTCTTCTTCTTCTTCTCATTTTCACTAACTTTTATTATTTGGTAACGATTTGTTTCATGTAAAACATTTCCCAAACATTCCTGTCCGTGTTTGCTGTCGGAGAATCCATATTCATCCAAACAAAGCTGTTTGCTCATCCATGATCTTCTGCTTTGCTGCACTGTTGTTGCACCTCTGAAGAATGAGTCGACCGTGCGTTAGGTCGAGCGTGTTTATCCAAATCCCAGACGTAAACAACAGTGTGGGCTTCAGATTTAATCGGTGCCAGTCTGTTATTGTTTCTCGCCCCTGGTGACAGATGGTCCTTCTGTGATATGATGAATATGGACACCATTAAAATCGACTGTAATTTCTGGACTATTGAGGCCACCTAAATATAGACCACACCCGCTAAATTAAAAAATGAAAAAAATTGTACATATATAGGCCGCACTGTTCGTGTTGTAACGTGATATTTACACAGAAAGGCCGCACTGTCCGTGTTGTAACATGTGATATTTACAGAGAAAGATTTTTTTTTTCATTTTTAATTAAATAAATGCTTTTTTCCGAACAGTACCTGTAACACGGCTAGTTACACGTTAGCTCTTTCTTGCTTCGCCGCCCCGACCGTAGCTGGAATGCACAAGGGAGACTTAGTGATCTGCTCCAGGGCTGAAGCTAACATTAGCTCCGCGGCTAACATTAACTCCGCGGCTAACTCCCTTCACTTCGTGCTTGTCCGCAGCAGAGGTAAACAGAAACAGGGAAGTTGGGGTCTTTATTATCAGCCACGCCGAGCACAACAGAACATGAACAGCGTTTTAACAGCTCTGGTATAACGAACTGACGTTTCAACTTGACAGGGCGACAACTGCTCTCCACTTTCGCTACCGTTCTCTCTCTCTCGTGCGCGCGACCCACGCACATATACGCACACAGCCATTCACAGACGGACATACGCTACTAGTGTAGCACACAGTAGCCCACCAGAAAAGTCATTGAGCCCTAGCGATATGAACGTTAGCTTGTAAAATTAGCTGCATTATTGTTTAAGCGCAGGGTTCAAAGTGTGTCAAAAAAGTAGCGACTTATAGTCTGGAAGTAACAGTAATCACTGTAATAATCACCTTTATTAACCTGCACTTTTGCCCCGCCCACTACTCTGGGTCGGTGGAGTCCAGTGGAGTCCAGTCCCTCCCCCCCCCCCCCCACACACACACACACCCCCCACCAAAAGCTTTCTGTTTTCATGTGTGGCCGCCATGGAGAAACACTCACGCACAAACACCGTGTCCTCTTTGTTACTATGTAATGTCTGTAACACGTGCAGCTCATTGCCGCTCTTTTCTTTTCTTTTTGCTGCCGCCTGATTCTGCCGCCAGGATCACCACCATGGGAATGTTTTCCATTCGCTCATATGTCACACATTCCATGTCATGTCTGCTCAGAACACCAGGAAGTGATCAAACCTCGCTCGTTTCGCCGCTCGTCGTCGTGTGGCACACTGCCCTGTGTCAACCACAGAACATAAATGTTAGATTAGGTCATTGCTCCCCGGGTTCCAGGCTCTTCCGTTGTCTTTCCTCTTCCTGCAGAAAAACTGTTGTTCTTCACTGCTGGAAACAACATGTTCACATGTGTGGCCCTGTGCTGCAGAGCTGCTGGGTCTGTCCTTGATGTTTTTAATCTTGTTTTTCAGAAGACCAAAAAAAAAAAAAAAAAAAAAAACCAACCCCCAGTTTATCACTCACTCCCCCTTGTGGCACCACTTAAAAATGCAGTTGAGACAAAGTTTTGCACCTCAGGTGTTTGAATCCAAACATGAATATATGGTAATGTTAATGTTTAAATTAGAGTTCAAAATAAGGCCCGCCCTCCTCTGGATGTACTTAATAAAATCACTCGACTCCAATGAAATCGAACGACTTAGAATTTTGATCGTTTTGTTTTTCTCTGTTGTGGAGAGGTTACAAAAACCAGTTTACACAGCTGGTATATACATGGTATATAATCCATGTTGTGGTGGTGCAGTGTTGTTGGTCAACAGCCGAACACTGGGGTGAGGCGGCCGCACGTGATGACGTCACCACCTCAAATCCCTGACAACAGCATTCTGTCGTGTTTACATCTGTGTGAGCTCACACTTTGATGTGTGACCCACACCAAGCTGACCAATCACAGACGAGCATGCTCGCAATCAGGGAGCAACAGTGGGCAGAGAAGGGAGGGAGGGGGGGAAGGTGATGGCAGGAATTAGGCTGGGGCAGATTAGTGTCTGAGCTCTGATTGCCCATTGGCTGAAGCGTCGTCGTCTGCTCTACATATGACTGGAGTCAAAATAACAACGACGTCCAGATTTCTGCTTCAGCGGCTGTTTTTGTTCTCTCCCATTTGTCCCCACATCTTTAGAAATTCTCAGAAAAAAACATAGCATTGTTGTTGTTTTTTTTTTTTGTTTTTTTTACCGAGATCATGGTGGTGCTTCTGACTAACAATAACAAGAACAGTTTGACCTGCTTTCCGACACTCTTCAAAGGTAAAGGTGAGTTTAAAGGCTGACGTGATGAGCTGTTGCTGCTGTCATTTAAAAAAAAAAAGTTTTTTTTCTTTATGGGTTTAACCAAGTCTTGACAAGTAACTAGTTCGTGGCTTTGTTTTGAATTTTTTTTTTTTTTTTTAACTGTTCTATTGATCACTGATGGTTTTCATTTCCTGACATAAGGAAATCCATGTCACTGTTCCACAGAGGCAGTGCTAAAAAATTAGCAACCATTACTGAGCACAAGGCTGTCGGTGCTAATTCCAGCGCAGGCTTACAGTGACTCTGCAGACAGTCAAGTTCTCCAGGCGCTAAAAGTAGCAACTGTCACTGTTACATAAAAATCTCCTAGCAGGTTTTTAGGCTAATAATGGGTGTGGTAATGTGCCACAGGTATTACTGAGTTACTGAGTTACATCACGCTGTCAGTATATACAGGACAGAATATACTGCAGGCCAGGCATGGAGGATATAATATATGAAAATAAAACATATGACGTGAAGTACTTGGTACAGTGAAGAAGTACTCGTCAAAAGTCTACTCAAGTTGTTGTTGTCTCTTCACACACTTTTACCACTTTCTACCAGGTCTTTGTCAAATATTACCCTACTTCTACTCTCTTTAAGTACTTTTAAGGGATTTCCAGTATTATTTTTACTCACCTTTACATCTTTACATTTTTGACCATGTTCTACAGATTTTTTTAAAAACGTTTTAGCTAATCTTTAGGGTTAGCCTCGTTATGTGTATATATATATATATATATATATATATATGTATATATATGTATATATATATATATGTATATATATGTATATATATATATATGTATATATATGTATATATATATATATGTATATATATGTATATATATATATATGTATATATATGTATATGTATATATATACATATATATATATGTACATATATATATAGATATATATATATATTTATTTATTTATTTATTTTTTAACCACGGTTTTGGTGGCTTTTGGTTGAAGCTTTATTCATAAGTAACTTAACCATGGAAAGTCCTTGTGGGTTTTTGTTTTACCAGCTTAGAATTTTTTGTTGTTTTTCTCTGCTAACTCAACCATTTCTTCCATTTCTTTGGCTATACTTTAGTTTTCTTCTGTTTGTACTGTTTCTAATGCAACAAGTGGCCATTCCTGCAGGTATTTTTGTAGTACTGCACTAGAAGTTCCCACAACACTGGTTTTGTCAGTTATGAGCAGAGCATGTAAAACAGTTTGGTAAAAAAAAATTGAGAGCAGATTTCCTGCAAATTTTACCCAAAATAACTACAAGTTCCATTGAAACGAGATTTAAGGGCAGACAAGATTTTAAACCGTGCGGACATTAAATGCAACAATTGTAATAAATGTCAGGAGGTTTTTCAGGTTTTTTCACATACAACATGTAATGGTTTTGAATGGTGTCCCAGGTTGATGGCATGTTATTGCAAATATTTTTTATTTAGGTCATTAAACCTGAAAGTATTTTCTTTTCTCTAATTAGAACATAATTGATCTCTCCTCCTCCTCTTGTCTTTTCTTAAAGCTCAGTCAAAGCGAAATGACAACGAGAATTCAGCGCCTCTGTTGCTCCAAGAGAATGTGTTCATCGAGTCCACGAGACCAAAGTACCTGGAGGACCTTCACACTGAGGCTCAGGAAGGGTTAAAAATGCAGCAGCAGGAAGGTACCAACACCCCTCACCCTCCAAGTCAGAACAAATGACAGTAGACTGAAAAGTGAAGGATTTTGTTGTTGAAGAATCAAATGTTCTCCTTGCAGAAACCAGCAGTGGGATGGAGTACCAGGACAACGAGAGCACGATTGTAAGTGAGGCTTCACACCAAAAGAAAAAAAAAAAGGCAACGTTTTCTTGCATTCAAAGCAAACTCACCATTTTGGTATTATATGTTTTTTTTTCTAATTTTTTTGCAGTCGACCATGTCGGTCCAAACTGACGGAGAAGGTAGAGGGTTTATGACCGACAGCACCATTCCAGATACATCTTCAGTCGTCTCGGTACAGTCGTCAGTGTCCACCCGATCATCCCGCTCCGGACTCACCAGACAAGGTATCCTCATAGCCAGAACACTGTTGACTCATCTCATCGTACATATTATACTGCACGCACCAGTATTACAGAAT